TGGTGTAGTTGTGCTGCTCGCTGGTGTAGTTATGCTGCTCGCTCAGATAAGCGCGTGTAAATCTTCTCATAGGTAGAGACAAAGTTGAATATGTTGTTTCAAGTGTACCAATTTCGTTTGTTGCAGGCTGCAGTGGAGATATGGTCAAATTCTGTGAGTACCATGAGAGGCTCGTGTTAAATTTAATTTGAATTACGTATTTTAAGAACAGAGACGATTAAAGTAGTGTATGGGGCTTATTTATTTGTATGATTTGTTTTTAGCGGCGAAGTATAACTTGTTTCAATAATAACGTTATGAAACATACAAGGTAAAGTATTTCGTATACATTTAATTATTTACTTATTACTTTTAATACCATTTAGGTGTAAGGAAGTATAAAATTTAATTATATTGCACCAATGATATTTGCGATGTTCCAGCAGGCAAAAGAAATTTGTCTTTTTTTCTTCCGGAGGTTACAGCTTTTTAATAATTCTGGTCTGAAGTGGTTCAGATGAACCATGATGTGTACGCCTAATTTATTAAAACTGGTTATGACTTAAGGCGAGCATATGGTAAATAGCGCTCATTGATTTACTTTTCCTTAACAATAACCTCACACTAAAATAAATTTGTTTATCTTTGCCTGCCTCTTAGGTGGGGCAATTAAGATTGAGGTAATTGGTGGTGAGATAATGAGGTGAGGTAATTAGTGGTGAGGTAATGAGGTGAGGTAATTAAGATGAGGTAATTATTATGATGTATTTAAGATGGGGTAATTAAAATGAGGTAAATAAGAGAAAGAACATAATTACGATGAGGTAACTATTTATAAGATGAGTTAATTTGGATGAGGTGATTAGGATGAAGTAATTTAAACGAGGTAATTAAGATGTAGGTAATTAGGATTTGGATAATTAAGATGTGGTAATTAAGATATGGTAATGAAGATGAGGTAATTATGGTGATTTAATCAAGATGGGGTAATTTATATGTGGTAATTAAGATGAGGTAATTAAGACGAGTTAGTTTGGATGAGGTAATTAAGACGAGTTAATTAGGATGAGGTAATAAAGATGATGTAGTTAAGATGAGGTAATTAAGGTTGAGGTAACTGACGGTTGAGGTGATTAGTTTTGGGTAATTTAGGTTAAGGAAATTAGGGTTAAGGTAATTAAGTTTGAGAAAATAAAGGTTGAGGTTAAGATGATATAGGTTAAGGTGATATAGGTTAAGGTGATATAGGTTAAGGTGATATAGGTTAAGGTGATATAGGTTAAGGTGATATAGGTTAAGGTGATATAGGTTAAGGTGATATAGATTAAGATATAGGTTAAAGTGATATAGGTTAAGTTGATATAGGTTAAGGTGACATAGGTTAAGGTGATACAGGATATGGTGATATAGGTTAAGGTGATATAGGTTAAGGTGACATAGGTTAAAGAGTGTGGTTATTAAGATGTGGTAATTAAGGTGTGGTAATTAAAATGTGGTAATTAAGGTGTGCATTATTTGCATAATTTGCAAGGAGCTTTGTGATGCGACTCTTGTACTGCAGTGCAGCAAATGACAGTTATTCATTCATCTTAGATGTAGCGAAATGCGGACTATTACCTCGTTCTGCTCGATCAAACCGGATTTTCCTTTGAATGTAAGAACTGTGTAATGAATACTTGTAAAAACTTCAAAGAAACGAAAAAACTTATCGCAGCCACGAAAGAAAAACCTAAACCGGTGGATTTCGTACCCGGTGGTGCTGGCCAAACCTCCCCCCGTGCCACCTCTTTCCTTGCAGCAAACTGTACCCTTGCCTTATCCCTTACCCCCTCCCCCACCTCTTCTGAAAAGAATTCTGTTGTACCAATTTTCACTTTAGTTGAAATAATTTTCGCGTGTTTAACACCATCACTTGAATTATTGATGGAAACTATATCCTAACATCGAACTTTATTGTCTATGACGCTTAAGAAATATGAATTTGATTTCAGAAACAAATGTAATTATTGGATTCTCCCTGAGTATATTTATGTGACTCCTGTCTACTCTACAGGGTCATATATTATGACAAAAACATTGGGTCTCTCGTTTGGGTTCGTGCAAGCTGCCACGGACCTCGAGTTCTGCATGACAGCGGACCCCTGCGGCTTCATTACTCAAGTGCCTAGAGAGCGCACTGCTCCTGCACCCATCATCCTGCGTTAGTAATAGTGAAATAGTGTAATTCTGTAGCGTGCATAATTGTGGAGGAGCGTTAATAGTGTAGTTCTGTAGCATGCATAACTGTGGAGGAGCGTTAATNTGCATAATTGTGGAGGAGCGTTAATTGAGAAAATCTGTAGCGCGCATTTATTGTGGAGGAGCGTTAATATTGTAGTTCTGTAGATGAACAAATAGTGTAGATTATGCATAGATGTAGAAGTAAAGCATCTCACGATCAGGATTGAGGGAAATAAGAGACGCTTTTCTGGTCTGAGTATAGAACCCTGTATAAATAACAGATTGTTGCAAGTTACATAAATACAAGTATATAGGAAATGATTGTAAACAGTATAAATCAAATCAGCTATTGAACAAAGTAATTAGTACAGGCTGACTGTTGCAACACTTAAGTACTTACTCTAATCAGAGGTTTTAGTGCAATTTATCAAAAATGCTAAAAGCTGGAATGAAATTGGCTATTGTCGTATTCAGCTGTGGTTACGTTCAGATATAAACAAATCTTAATATTGCAATTAAATCTAATTCTAAATTTCTAAATATGTTTATCATATACAAAATCTTAAATATTAAACTGGACCGCTACAGAAGAACGTTGATAGTGTAGTTTTGTAAAATTAATACATGTAAAGTAACATTATGTAACATATTTTTGCGTTTATTTTGAAGCATTTTGCCCCACGAAGCATCGTAACTTTCAAGTAGTTTGCGATTAGCTTTAGGGTCACCGTCTGATTTCTAACCATGGTTGATTTCTGTGGTATTAGCCTAAGAAATAAGAAATTGGCTGTCATATTAGTTAATACTTCTTAATTTATACTAAGCTAAATTTAAAATTTCAGTCAAGAACTGCAGCCAGACGATTTCTCTTCCGGACTTGAGCGAGGGCGGGATATACCTGCTGTCTCATCCTGGATTCGGGTGTCTCTACTACCCCGACACGCCTGTCAACGCCTGCTCTCTGAAATTAACTTACCCAACGAGTAACACAACAAAACTCAAGATTAGTTCCTCCAAATCCTTCAAGGACTTCTTGGGTACCGACGGATGCGACGGCTACAGCCTTGAGTTTGACACGGACGGCCTGGGGTAACGGCGCTAACACTAATTACTGCACGGCCGACCCTCTACCAGTGAGAGCTGAGAGTAAAGTCGTGTCTGTTGGTGGAGTGTGTGACTCCAAGTGATGCATTGTGTCTGTTGGTGGAGTCCGTGACTCCAAGTGATGCATTGTGTCTGTTGGTGGAGTCCGTGACTCCAAGTGATGCATTGTGTCTGTTGGTGGAGTCCGCGACTCCAAGTGATGCATTGCTTCTAGATTATTATTCTTTTACTCAACAATACATGAAGACGTGTATGGACAGTTGTTTTGTTGTTTCTATTCAAAAAATGCTGATGACCTAAACTTCAATTATATCCCGTTACTCACACTTTAGCTTCAGAGAGGGCATGTGAGAGGTGCTTGTGAGAGGTGCTCCAAAGAGACAAGAGGTTGATATTGTACCAGTAATCCGATAGTGCAGCGCTGGCAGTGGAATGACAGGTCGCGAACAGAATATAAGGTTTTTTGGTCTACGTCTAACAGTGTTAAATATATATTGACACGACGTGTTGCTGCAATGAGTGTTAGTTTCTGTTGGTACATTAAGGTTCAGATGAGAGTGGTGAACATCAGCACTGCACAGTTATTATTCTAGTCAAGTATGTAATGTTTTTACTGTGCAGGATGTTTCGTTCACGGGAGAACTTACCGTCATCCTGAAAGGCTCGTCGACCAACGACAGAAAGAAAATGGGGTTCGATTTCCTAATTGAAGTAGCCTAACCTCATAAGATGATCAGAACATGGAAGATGAAATTATATAGCTACGCGATCTAATTTCATCATCAAACGCATTGGCGAAGTCCAATTCAGCGAGCAAGGCTGAGAGGAGTTTGAACACTAGAAACATGAGTAGTTTGTGTGAAAACATGCAATCATTCATTAAAAGCCCCTTGCATTCATCGAAAAGACTTCGCAACGCAGTTTCCAACAATCAGACTTTGCTTATAGTTGCCATCTGACCTTAATCTGATTGATTAAGACCATCGTTTTGATCAATCCAGCCCCAATTCCGTAAAAACTTTGTTTCACCAACATTCCGTACTGTTGTGCTTTCATCAGCGAAGGTGCAAGCTTCTAAGAACGGTAGCACTTCTATTAACGCATAATTTTCCAATGCAATACAGTGACCATTCTGTCAACTTAGAAGAAATTGGCTGCACATAATCGCGCTGTAAGTCTTGTGTTGCATAAAAGAATGCTTGGCAAGACGCAAAGTTATGAAAGGGAACTCATGCACCCTTGTCCATTTGTTCAGCGTCACTCTGCTTTCTTACATGCAATGAAACCTTTCCGCGTATGTTTCTTGAAAATTTCAAGTTATAAGACCGACGAAAACTATTACCTACATAGCTTCCTCTCTCATCTTTTAGGGAAGAATGTAGCAAAGCAATCAGTTTCAGCCATTCCCATCATCTAAAATTGATTGGATCCCATTTCGCTGTGAGGCTCACATATAAATACATTACATTGAATATTCTTACTCGTTTTGCTATGCATAAGTTCATATGCAACCATAAACCTGACTTTTCCGAATTTCGAGAGTTGAAGCTGCCAATTACAGCAGATAAATTCACTATTAACTGTAACTATTTTGAGATCTTCTGATATTAATTGAAATGGACAACAGAAATTTGAATATGAAATGACAAAATTATCATATTAATTACTTCACTTAGTGAAATTAGGCTGCTTAGGTGAGGAAAAAATGAAATAACGAATGTCTTGACATCTTGACAATAACTGGTAGCCAAGACATCTTGATGTCTTGTTATTTTTTGTTATTTTTCAACAGTCATTTTTCAACGCTCTTGTTCCTTCCTATTTCTGTCACTTTTAGAAGTGATGGATGTCAGGTAGATAATTGTTCAGCACAGGCGTGTCATCGTAGCTTTTGACAGATTCATTAATGATGCACTTTTTGCAATAAAATTTTGGTTATATGAAACTTGATATTTTTTTAATCATCAAAGATTCGTGTGATTTACAAAGGTTTCTTGATGCAACACTTGATTCCAGCACTGATTTTTTTGTCGTCAAATTGCACTTGGTGTTGAGTAACACTTGATGCTATTCCTCTGTGTATTATTTAACCTTCAAACTTCGGATCTATTTTAATTTAATGAAAATAGAGAACAACTTTCAAGCCACCTCACGTATAACTCACGTATAATTGCAGCCGATATAGGAAGGCTAAATTGAGCAAAGGTAAGATAGCATCTCAAGTCGATCGCATCCAAGTCTTGATATTGGTTTAAATCTTGAGTAAATGTAGAAATTATAAATGAACTGATTTTAAAAATCAATTCTTTTTCTACGCTCAGCTCGGTGTAATTCCCCAACTATATGGTACTGTAATGAAGATAATAATCATTACATATTACTACTCACCAAACTCGGCACACTGGATTGGGGACACCAGATCCTACACTGATCGTGCGCAGCGACCCTCAGATCCTATACTGATCGTGCGCAGCGACCCTCAGATCCTACACTGATCGTGCGTAGCTTCCCTCAGATCCTACACNACTACGAACATCCGTTGAGGCAGAAAATGTCGAAATATCGATCACATTCAGAAATAAACTGTAGAAAATGCAACTATATCCTCTCATTGACCTCCGATCGAGAAGTTATCCATTTATAACATCGTTATTACCTATTCTTCCATGGTTTGAGATAAGGGTTTGAAACATGTTTTCAAACTATTTGCCTTATTCCAACTTAAAACCAAATCGATAGCTTTGAGTAATTTTCAATGATCAGACCAGAAAGATGTAGGTACTCATTCCACCCAGTCAAGCGTAACTAAAAGCTCAGTCTTCAGGGAATTAGGCCTCACAATCGAGTTAGAATAGCTTCAATTTGTAAACAGAATTTTTTGCCCAGTTTTGTGCCCAGTGAAACACACGCGCGCTCTTTGTCATGGGATGTTCGAGTCTCTTCACGCAAATCAGGCGCGTCAGGTCAACCTGGTGTCGGGACAAAAAAATTAACCTCTGTAGCTTAATATTTGACCGTATATAGGTGCAGTTTAGATATGGGCAACTTTCTCCATTGTAATGCTTTGTTCTTGGCAGGTAATACACCTGCGAGATGCATTAAGATCTGGAATAAAGAAATGATATTTATCTTTTCCGACGTTTTAGATTTCAATTTAAATTTACAAACCATATGGTAGCTTCCTCTGATTACAAACAAATTTTCAATTTGTTTCAATTTTTAAAAAGTTTGCACGCCCAAGGTCTAAAAATTTGGAAGGCCGCCTGGATTGAAGAGTATTTTTTGCGCATCTATATTACTATTATTAAATGCATAAACGTATTATAAGATGTATCGAACGTATATTTTATTATTTAATATTTTCTGAATACAAAAAAACAATTGAATTACCGTGCGTATTGTACGACCATTGAACCCATTTCATGAATCCTAAAACATAACAAATGAAATCTCGTGCTTGTTTGTGTTGCTGTACACGCGTTGTAAAAATAATCTCTCTAATAATCTCGTCTGCCGGTGATTGCTCGTAATCTCAATACTCGTTTGTTTGTTCGCTGTCTTGAAGCGTTTCTTCGTATTTTATTGCCTCCATTTCCTTCACTACAATAATCGTACACTATAACATGTTGATGGTAATATGAGGTGTAAGCTTCAAGCTGAAGACGGAAATTACCATCTAATTTCATTTCATCTTCCACAACTGGATTGATACGATAATTGATGAGCATGGAAACTATTTTTAGATTTTAAGAATCCAGCAAAATAATTACGAATACTTTTAATACTTTAATATATGACCGATTCGGAAAGGGGAAAATGATAATAAATTAAGACAAATTATGACAATGCCTATGTTGGGAATGACAAGAATTTTAACAGCGCTTGATGTTGTAAAAAACTAGAAAATTCCTATAATAATCTAAGTATTATGTTCCATTTAATTAATTGATGTTTGTTTGTTTCTTAAAACACGTTTTTTTGTTGAAATTTATTACGTTGACTTGCCAGGGAAAACGTACAACCCAAAACAGCCTTGATAAGGACATCAATGAGCCGCAACCATCAGGTAAGATGTAATCAAATTATGCGTTTCTTTTCATATGAGAAGGAAGACAAGGCGGCAAAGTGACCGAAAGAATAATGGCCAGATAAATTCATATATCAATCTAAATTATAATTAAGAAACAATACTAGACGCCAGCATTTAAGCCTCGGATGATTAGAGATGATAAAACGTTTCAAGCAGCTGAAATGCCCGGATCATAATTTGTATTCAGAATTTATACTGAGTAATAATCTGTAAATTAGTTATTCTGAAGATTTCTCATAAGGCTTTAACTAATGCCAGAGCATTAGACATTTTCCGACTTGACGCATGAGTTAGTCGTTTGGTTTAAAATGCTAGTCTTATTGAGATAAAAATCTCTGATAATTAAACCGCAAGTAGCCAGAGGAACTCAAAGTGATTTTTATGAACCGAGGAGGTCTTCAAGTCCACCAATATCAGGAACGAAATCTGCAAAGCAAAAAAATTATTCGATACAATTTTTCTTTTGTTTAAAATGTTAGTCTTATTGAGATAAAAATCTATGATAATTAAATCGAGAGTGACCAGAAGAACTCTAAGTGAGTCTTGAAAGCCGAGGAGGTCTTCAACTCCACTAATGTAACGAACAAAATCTGCGAAGCAAAAAAATTATTCGATACAATTTTTCTTTGTCACGTGGTATCTCATCAGCCACGTGCGTGGATAGGCCTTCATGGTCTGGAGCTCAGGAGGTATATAAAGGGAGGGGCAGCTCCCAACCGCCAGTCGCAGTCAAGTTGTCAGTGTGTGCGTACGAAGTTCAAACGCTCCTTTACTCCACCAAGATGGGCAGAAACCAGACGGGCAAAAAGACCAAGAAGTCTCGCAACTGGGTGAGTTTTGATCGCTGACAATATTTTGTTAAATATTAGAATGATCTTACGAGGTCGTGTTCAGCAAGA